TTTCCCCAAAGAAGACATACAAATGACCAACACCTATATGATAAGATGCTCAACATCACTAATTATAAGAGAAATACAAATCAAAACTACTCTGATATACCACCTGACACCCATTAGAATACCTATTGTCAAAAAGACAAGAGATAACAGGTGTTGGAAAGGGTGTGGAGAAAAAGGAACTTTTGTACACTGTTGGTGGGAATGTAGATTGGTATAGCAATTACAGGAAACAGTATTATTACTAAAGAAATTAAAAATAGAATAAATACTTCTCAATTTGCTGTATACCTTTGGACAATTTCCTGAGTCTTAAAATGGTTCTTTTTAAATTTTGGCCAGTTTTATCAATACTTTTGGGGGAGAGAATTTGCCAAGCTCCTCATTGTGTTTTTCTAAAAGAAGTCTCACCTCCAGACTCCCAAGGCTGTACTTTGAGACACATTAGTGTACTAGGCTGTGGGGTTGCACGACTTGGGTTCATGTCCTAGCTCTACCACCTAATGATTATATTCTTACAAAGTTACTTAGCATCTCTGAGCTTTAATTAGTTGTCCTTAAAATGAGAATGATAATACCAATGAAAGTGAATGTGAGAGGTACAGGTATAGCAGTTTTTAAAAACTATTGCTTAATATCTTAAAATGTGGATAAACCACAGTTTATTCAGCGATTCTTCCACTTCCCCACTGATAGACATTTAGTCTTTTTTCTAATTATTTTTACTATTATAACCATCACTATTATGAATATCCTTATATGCTGCTCCACATGTGTGACACTTTCTATAAGATAAATACTGAGAGGTGAACTACTATTTGCCCAAAGGAAAAGAAATCATTATATCAAAAAGACACCTGTATGTGTATGTTCATCACAGCACAATTTACAATGGCAAAGATATGGAACCAACCTCAGTACCCATCAACCAATAAGTAGATAAAGAAAATGTATATATACACCATGGAATACTACTCAGCCATAATAAAGAATGAAATAATGTATTTTGCAGCAACTTGGATGGAGCTTGAGACCATTATTCTAAGTGAAGTAACTCAGGAATAAAAAACCAAATACAGTATGTTCTTACTTATAAGTGGGAGCTAAGCTATGTTATGCAAAGGCATACAGAGTGGTATAATGGACATTGGAGACTCAGAAGGGGAGAGGGAAGGAGGGGGATAAGGAATAAAAAACTACCTATCAGTTTCAGTGTACACTACTACTCAGGTGATGGGTGCACTGAAATCTCTGACTTCGCTAATATACAATTCATCCATGTAACCAAAAACCACTTGAGCCCCAGAAGCTATGAAATAAAAAAATATATATTAAAAGATAAAATAAATAAATAAAGTACAAGAGTAAAAAAGGTAAATACTGAGAGGTGAATTTCTAGGTCAAATATGCACATTTTAAATTATTTTCATAGAAACTTGCTGATGCCATATAGTATAACTTTAACAATATTTACTCCTACTACCAATGTTTGCAAGTATGCATTTTTCCCCACATCCTTTAAAACACATTTTAATCAGCCTTTAAAATTTTTGTTGCTCTGATTGGTATAAAATGGTATCACATTTTGGTTTAAATACCCATTTCTTTGATTATTAACAAGGCTGGGGGCAGTTCATATGTATACCGGTCACTTCTGGTGACTTTCCTTAGTGATATCCTTTACCTATTTTTCTGTTGGGTTTTTATCTTTAATGATCTCAGAGGTTTATTCTATATGCTGGATATTAATCCTTTTATGTTACAAATACTTTTTCCTGTTACTTGTCTTTTAACTTTGCTTTTATATTGTTTGCAGAACAGAAGGTATTTATTTTAATATAGACAAATTTATCTCTATGCCTTTTGTGTCATATTAAAACAACCTTTCTTACCTCAAGGTTGTCAATATTTAATGTTTCACAGTTTTAATTTTTTGTACTTTAATCCATCAGAAATTTATTTTTTTGAATTATATGAAGACATAACTTATTTTTTCTTTTCTTTTGTAAATTGGGTCACACACTTTATTTACCTTTTCTAAATGAGTAACCTAATGTATAGAAAGTCTTTGTTTTTTTGTAATTTTTTAATTTTGCTATAACTTCAAATTAACAGAAGGTTAGTTGCTAAAATAGTACAAGGACCTCCTGTATTAGTCTGTTCTCACACTGCCATAAAGAACTCCCAGAGAATGGTTAATTTATGAAGAAAAGAAATTTAATTAACTCACAATTCCATAGGCTGTACAGGAAGCATGGCTAGGAGGCCTCAGGAAACTTAAAATCTTGGTAGACGGTAAAGGGGAAGCAAGCATGGTGGAGCAGGGGAGAGAGACAGCAAAGGGGGAAGTGCTACACACTTTTAAACAACCAGATCTCATGAGAACTCACTATCATGAGAGCAGCAAGGGGGGAATTTGCCCCCATGATCCAATCACCTCCCACCAGGTCCCTCCCCCAACATTGGGGATTACAATTCAACATGAGATTTGGGTGGGGACAAAGAGACAAACCATATCATTCCACCATTTCACTCCTAGCCCCTCCCAAATCTTATGTCTTTTCACATTTCAAAACCAATCACATCTTCCAACAGTCTCCTAAAGTCTTAACTCACTCCAGCACTAACTCAGAAGTTCAAGTTCAAAGTCTCATCTGAGACAAGGCTAGTCTCTTCCACCTATGAGCTTGTAAAATCAGAAACAAGTTTGTTACTTCCAAGATACAATGGGGGTACAGGCATTGGGTAAATGCTCCCATTCCAAATGGGAGAAATTGGCCAAAGCCAAGGGGCTACAGGCCCCATGAAAGTTCAAAACCCAACAGGGCAGTCATTAAATCTTAAAGCTCCAAAATAATCTCCTTTGATACCATGTCTCACATCCAGGGCATGCTGATTCAAGGGGTGGGTTCCCATGGCCTTGGGCAGCTATGCCCCTCTGGCTTTGCAGGGTACAGCGTCTGGGAGTGCTTTCACAGGCTGGCATTGAGTGGCTGTGGCTTTTCCAGGTGCACAGTGCAAGTTATTGGTGGATCTACCATTCTGGGGTCTGGAGGACGGTGGCCCTCTTCTCATAGTTCCACTAGGCAGTGCCCTAGTGGGGACTCTGTGTGGGGCCTTCAACCCCACATTTCTCCTCCACACTGCCCTAGGAGAGGTTCTTCATGAGGGCTCTGCCCCTGCAGTAGACTTCTGCCTGGATATCCAGGCATTTCCATCCATCCTCTGAAATCTATGCAGAGGCTCCCAAGCCTCAACTCTTGTCTTCTGGGCACCCATAGGCCCAATAACACATGGAAGCCACCAAGGCTTGGGGCTTGCATCCTCTGAAGCAATGGCCCAAGCTGTTCCTTGGTCCCTTTTAGCCATGGCTAGAGCTGAAGCAGCTGAGACATAGAGCCAAGGGACATGGGGGCCGTGTCCCAAGGCTACATAGAGCAGTAGGGCCCTAGGCATGGCCCACAAAACTCTTTTTTCCCTCTTGGCCTCAGGGCCTGTAATAGGAGGGGCTGCTGCAAAGGTCTCTGACATGCCCTGGAGACATTTCCCCCCATTGTCTTGGATATTAACATTTGGCTTCTCTTTGCTTATGGAAATTTCTGCAGCCTTGAATTCCTTCCAGAAAATGGTTTGTTTCCCACCACATGGTCTCACTGCAAATTTTCCAACCTTTTATACTGTTTCCCTTTTAACTATAAGTTCCAATTTCAGACCATCTCTTTGCAAATGCATATGAGCGTACACTGTTAGAAGCAGCCAGGCCACATCTTGAACACTTTGCTGATTAGACATTTCTTCTGCCAGATACCCTAAATCATCTCTCTCAAGTTGAAAGTTCCACAAATCCCTAGAGCAGGGCCACAATGCTGCCAGTCTCTGATAAAGCATAGCGAGAGTGACCATTACTCCAGTTCCCAATAAGTTCCTCATCTCCATCTGAGACCACCTCAGTATGGACTTCACTGTTCACATCACTATCAGCATTTTGGTCAAAACTATTCAAGAAGTCTCTAGGAAGTTCCTAACTTTCCCTCACCATTCTGTCTTCTTCTGAGCCCTCCAAACTGTTCCAATCTCTGCCTGTTACCCAGTTCCAAAGTTGCTTCCACATTTTCATGTATCTTTATAGCAATGCCCCACTTCCCTGGTAACAATTTTCTGTGTTTGTTTGTTCTCACTTGGCTATAAAGAACTACCTGAAACTGGGTACTTTATGAAGAAAAGAGGTTTAATTGACTCACAGTTCTGCAGGCTGTACAGGAAGCATGGCTGGGAGGCCTCAGGAAACTTACAATCATGGTGGAAAGTGAGGGGAAGCAAGCACATCTTACCATGGCAAAGCAGGAGAAAGTGAAGGCGAAAGTGCCACACACTTTTAAACAACCAGATCTTGTGAGAGCTCAGTCACTTTCAGGAGAACAGCAAAGGGGAATTCACCCCCATGATCCGATCACCTCCCACTAGGTCCCTCCCCTAACATTGGGGATTATAATTCAACATAAAATTTGGGTGGAGACACAGAGCCAAACCATATCACCTCCTATATATCCTCTACACACCTATGCTTCCTTCTTTTGATACTTGAATGGTTTCATATTCTAAATTTAGTACTTATATATTTTGAGTTTATCTTGATGACCTTCTGACAACATGACATATAGACACAAATTTATCTTTTCCCAAGTTCTATCTAGTTGTCCCAACACCATTTATTTAAAAATTCATCTTTTCCTCAATGACTTTTGCTGTCACTTTATTACATATCAGATTTCCATATGCATTTGGGTATATTTCTGGGCTTTTTCTACTCTTCCATCATTTTATCTATTTAAATACAACATTACACCATTTTAATTATAGAAGTTCTACAGTATATTTTAATATCTGGTAAGGGGCAAGTCCCTCCCCTCAACCCTTATTGCTCTTGCTTATTTCTTGGTAGAAGACTTTTAGAAGGAAGTTTTCTGGATGCTGATTTCTGATGAACGTGATCTTTTCCCTAGAGCTGAAATATGCTAATACCGTGATGCGCTTTGATTATGTCTGGCTTCGAGACCACTGCCGCTCAGCATCGTGCTACAACTCTAAGACTCACCAGCGCAGCCTGGATACTGCCAGTGTGGATTTATGTATCAAGCCAAAGAACATTCGTCTGGACGAGACCACACTCTTCTTTACTTGTGAGTGGACAGGAGACTTGATCTTCTTTGGGGGTACTCTTCTGAAGGACAGTTATTTTGTGGAAAATGGTTTGTTCCTTTCAAAAATAGGTTAATAGTTATTTTTCTTTTTTTCTTGTTTTGGAAGGATTTTTTGAAACATTTTTATCTTCATATAAAATTGTTACAATCCACAGCTAACATTATACTTAATGGTGAGACTGAATGCTTTCCCTCTAAGACAGGGAACATGGCAAGGATGCCCACTCTTACCACTATTATTTAACATCCGCTCTCACCACTCTTATTTATCATAGTACTGAAAATTATATTACAGTAAGTCAAGAAAAATTAATAAAATTTGTACACAAAACTCTTTATTTGCAGATACATGATAGCCTAACATAAACTACCTCAAGTAATCTGTAATAAAACTATGAAAACTAATAAATAAGTTCAGTAAGGTCACAGGACACAAGATCAACACACAAAAATCAATCATATTTCTATATACTTAAACATGCAGAAACTGAAATGAAAAATGACCATTTCAGTAGCTTCAAATAAATTTAAATATTTAGGTATCATCTAACAAAATATGTATAGGATCTATATTATAAAAATTATTAAATGCTGATGAAAGAAATCAAAGAAGACATAAATACATGGAGAAGCAAATCATGTTCATGGATTGGAAGACTCAACATAGTAATGATGTCAGTTTTCTCCAAATTGATGTATAGTTTTAATGTAATTCCTGTCAAAATATAAGCAAGATTTTTTAATAATTATAAACAAGCTTCCTCTAAAATTTAAATGGAAATATACAGGCCCTAGGAAAGCCAACACAATTTTTAAAATGAAGAATTAAGTAGGAAGAAATCACTTCCTGATGTTAAGACTGCAGTAATCAAGACAATGTGGTATTGGTGGAGGGACAGATACATAGATCAACGGAATAGAATAGAGAACCCAGAAATAGATCCACAGAAATATAGTCAACTTATCTTTGGCAAAAGTGCAAAAGCCATTCAATGGAGGAAGGATAGTCTTTTCAATAATTGGTGCCGGAGCAATTGGATGTCCATAATCAAAAAATAAAAGAACCTCAACCCAAGTCTCACACCTTATATAAAAACCAACTCATAGTAGATTGTGGACGTAAATGTAAAACATAAACCTATAAAACTTCAAGAAAAGAACATATGAGAACATCTTAAGGTCCTGACTTGCACTAGGACTAAACTCTTAAAACTCAGCATAGAAAACAAGCAATACAATTTTAAAATGGATAAAAGATATGCTCAGACATTTTCCTGAATAGGATATACAGATGGCAAATAAACGTATGAAAAGATGTTCAACATTATTAGCTGTTAGAGAAATGAAAGTTAATATCACAATGAGATTGCACTACATACCTATCAGAATGACTAAATTAAAAAACAACAACTACACCAAATACTAGAGAAGATGCAGAGAAATTCTATCACTCATATATTGCTTATAGGAATGTAAAATGGTACACTCTAGAAAACAGTTTGGTAATTTCTTACAAAAAAACCAGACATGCAACCCAGAAATCACACTTCTGGGCATTTATCCCAAATAAATGAAAACTTACGTTCACATAAAACCCTGTACATTAATGTTCACATCAGCATTATTTGTAACAACCAAGAATTGGAAACTACCCAATGGTTGAATGGTTAAATAAACCATCCATATAATAAAATGCTACTTACAGCAATGAAAAGGAACGAACTAATGACACACAACTTGGAAGAACCTCAGTTAAATTATGCTGAAGTGAAAAAGCCAATCTGCATTATTTCATTTATGTAACAGTCATGAAATAACATAATTATAGAGAACAGATTATTGGTTGCCAGAAGTTAGAGATGCAGGGGTAGGAGGTGGCAGATATAGCTATAAAAGGGTAACACGAAGGAGTCATGGTTGAGTATCTTGATTGTGGTAGTGGTTACACAAAGTTACACATGTAATTACACTGCAAAGAGCTATGCACACAAATGAACATATGTTTAACTGGTTAAATCTGAATAAGCCCAATGGATTGTACCAATACCACTTTCTTGGTTTGGGTATTGTAGTGTGGCTGTATAACATGTTAACATCAAGGAAGTCTTGGGGAAGAGCTCATGGGACTTTCCTACACATTTCTTTTCAACATCCTATGAATCTATTATCTCCAAATAAAAAAGTTAAAAGAAAAAGCATTGGAGGAAAAACATGCTTACAATGCATGCATTGACTACTAATTTATGTACGATAGAAAAAAATGCCATAGAAAGGTTTATTTAAAAACAGGCAAAATATTAGCAAAATGTATGCCAAAGACTACAAATCCTTAATATGTAAGGTGCTATTGCTAAATTGTAAGAAAAGTACAAGTATTCCAATAGAAAAATGTGAGAAAGGACTGAACGGACAAATCATTAAAGCAGGAGTCAGCAAACATTTTCTGTAAAGAGCCAGATGGTAAATATTTTTAAACTTTGTGGGCTATGTGAGTGAATGGAGCTATAAACAATATGTAACAAAATGGACAGATGTGTTCTGAAACAGGCATTACAAAACCAAGCACCAGATTTGACTCATAAACCATAGTTTGGTAGCCCCTGCATTAAAGAAACATAGATGTCTAACAAATATAAAAAGTATTCTTATTAGCCTTATTAGTAAGCAAATAAGTTAAAATTATTACAAGATAGCAGTTCTACTTTAGTTACCAAATTAGAAAAAAATATATTTTAAGTATAAGAATACTCCATTTTGATGGACACAATATGTGCTGTTGGATGGAATGAAGATAAGTAGACTTGCTACAAAGTAATTTGATTATGTGTATCAGAACTCTTAAAAGTTTATATCTTTGAAATTTCTAAATACAAAGATACAAACTTTGAAGAAATGTAATACACGTTCTATTTCTAAATTATTAGAAATATGGTTAAAGATGATCACTAATAAATAATAGGAAAATTTTAAAAATAAATGTACATACGCAGAAGAATAGATTGGTTAGGTAAATCTTGGTAGTGTACATTTTGTAAGCTTTAAAAATTAATTTTAATGAAGGTTGAATTTTTAAAATGATAAAATTTAATTTTAAAAATTGTGAAAATGTTAAGCGACAATGGCAGAGTCCCAAATTTTATATATATGTAAATTACATAAACTATATTTATATATATATAAATTACATAAAATAGGAGAATATATAGAAAAACTGGAAGGAATGATGCCAGGATGTCAATCATAGTTTCATCTGGGTGATAGAATGATAAACATGGTGACTTTTAATTTCCTCATACTTTTTTATGCTTTCCAAATTATCCAAAGTGTGATACTTTTTTTTTATCAAGGGGAGGGAGGAAAAGAGAGAGAGAAGTAAAAAGGAGAGACAAGTTGTCAACATAGCCTTTCACTCCTTCTGCTGCTTCCTTTGCTTATCCTGAAGATTTTCTAAAGCATTTTGGGGTTGGTTTTCAACTTTTTTGGGGTGGGGGGTGCACAGCAGGTGAAGCCACTTACAAAGTCATTTTACTGTATTGTGTTGATGTCATATAATTAGACAGCAATGTCCTATATCATGTAGAAGAGGAAGGCAGTATTGAACTTCTAGCAGCAAGAAGTTGAGGGTCTAGTACCACCTATAGTACTTAGTTGTGTGATCCTGAGTGAGTCACTGACTTTTTCTCCATCTTTAAAATAAAGATTAGCCCCTTCTACCTCAAACATTCTCAGTTCCTATATAGATGGAAGACAGGGATTGGGGCAAGGGGAGAGAGTGCCAAGTAGATTTGTAAAAGCCTACTTGGATTATCATTCTTTGATGACTTGATGGATTTTCCAGAAGGTCTTTTACTATGTAACTATAATTCTGTAAATTTATTTAGCCTCTGGGAAGATTTATTTGTTCATTCATTTATTCATGCATACCACTCAAACCACACATATTTCTGTCTCAGAAACATTCTAGGCACTCATTTTAATTTGGTTTCATAAACAATATAGTACTGGATAACTGATTGCTAAGAAAAAGATTCTTAACTAGTTGTAACCAATTATAATTTGTAACCAATTACAAATATTGACATTATTTGTAATTATTATTTCAGTGCCTTTTATTTTTCCCCTTAAAAGGGCCAGATGGTCATGTGACTAAATATGATTTGAATTGGCTGGTGAAAAACAGCTATGAAGGGCAGAAACAAAAAGTCATCCAGCCTAGAATACTATGGAATGCTGAAATCTACCAGCAAGCCCAAGTTCCATCTGTAGATTGCCAGAGCTTCTTAGAAACCAACGAGGGACTGAAGAAGTTTCTGCAAAACTTTCTGCTCTATGGAATTGCATTTGTAGAAAATGTCCCTCCCACTCAAGAGCACACAGAGAAGTTGGCAGAAAGGATCAGCTTAATCAGGTAATGCATTTCTTTCCAAAAATCCACAGTACTATAATTAATTTCCAGAGCATGAGCACCAATAAATAAATGTAACAGGTATGGTCACCCTTGTTTTCAATCCAGAATATTTTGTAGCATGAATAAGGGGACTCCCACTTGCAGTGCTTTATTTGAAGTCTGGATTTCTAATCTCTAAATACACTTACGTGTAAAATATAATGATGACTACAGAGTCGTTGGTAATATGTTTCTAATCCAGTGATCCCAAGTGACAGGTATTATTGTACACTGGAAAAAAACACTGACTGTAAGGAGAACTGGATAGTAGTCTGAGTTCTACCATCAAGTAGTTGTGTGACCATAGGCGTATCCATTACACACACACACACTCAACCCCCGCTGTCCTCTATTTTCCCATCTGTTCAATTTGACCTTCTGGGATTCCTATGGCTTGATTCAGAGACTGACTGTTAATAACACTGCCTTAGAAGGCTATATAGCATTCAGCCAGCACATTCCCATGCATTATTAGTAATCCTGATCAGTGTGTTTTGTCCCCGTTTTGCTGATGAGGCACTGACACTCCAATATACCAAGTGTCTTGCCCAGGAGCACTCTACTAGTAAACAATAGAACTTGAATTCAAATAGCCCAGGTTTCCTAATCTTAAATACATTGTTCTTTTCATTACCATTCCACACTTCTGGGTGGTATATAGATTAATCTTCTATAGTATTAAGTGTGATGTCAACCTACTTTATTATAATTGTTACTTTCCTTTTACTTAATAAGATCCAGATATAGCTCATTCTGTAGTAGATAGTATGCTGGGTCTTCTGCCCTATGCTGGTAGAGCATAATTAACAGCATCTGTGAGCCCTCAATTTGAATCACAGTTTGAGAATTTTCAAGTGAAAGAAACTGTGTTGGTAAGCAATAAATTGAGACAGCTTTAGGGATGATAGTTCAAAAGGAAGAGCATTTCCTATTTGAATTTCAAGGGTTCGGAAAATAAGATGAACTTTGAAAGCTAAAGAATTAAAGTGACCTTTAGTCAGATTTGAGCCCACCAGGAAAATAATTACAAAATCAAAATATATGATGTATACTTCAAGGAGAGGCACAACAACAATGGTACAGCAAGTCTCACCAAATACTTGCTAACAGAAACTATCCTGTTCTCTTTTCCTTATTCCTCCATGTCCAAAAGATGAGTGAGGATCTACATTAATCACTTCTGTGTCTTATAAAGAATATGAGAACTCTTCAGTCATCCTTGCAAATTGGATTATACCAAATACTAGGAAATGACCACCATTATTGAAAAAATGGTACTAATGAAAGACAACAGCTATAAAAATAGTAAATAAAGTTAAAAAAATCACTTCTAGAAGCAGCTACATCATCTTTTTCTGTGAAAGAATGGTGAGCATAGAAAAGAACCTTGAATTTATGAAGGCTATGAAAACTGGGCACATAATCAGAGTGAGATAATTCTCTAAGCTTTCATAATACAATATGATGCTTCCACAGTTTTCTCCCCAATTTTCTAGAATGTTAATAAATGACAGAATTGTCAAGACTAGCGTGTTCAACTGTTTCACCTTATGAAACAGTTGAATTTCACCTTATGGATGAAATTCTGGAACCAAAAAAATCTATTGTTATTTGTGAGTAACTAAAGAAGGTATTGGAAAGAGTTTTGAAAGACAAGAATGAACATTTTAGCTAACAGGTCTTTCTTTATTTCATCTAACAGAGAAACCATTTATGGGAGGATGTGGTATTTCACTTCAGACTTTTCCAGAGGTGACACTGCATACACCAAGCTAGCTCTGGATCGGCACACTGACACTACCTATTTTCAAGAGCCCTGTGGGTAGGTGGATTAGATTTTTACAGTGTAAGGTCTTTATATGTGATAGTCTTGAGTGGTTTCTTAATTATTTTCCATTCTATTTGAACCAAGATCGTATCTGCTGCTGGGGATTTGTATGACTTTCTTTCTCTTCCCCTAGAAACATGATCATTTTGAAATACCTTAACTCAGATTTTAGATTCTGTATTAGGCCATTCTTGCATTGCTATAAATAAATACCTGAGACTGGGTAATTTATTAAAAAAAGAGATTTAATTGTCTCATGGTTCTGCAAGCTATACAGAAAGCATAACAGCATCTGCTTCTGGGGAGGCCTCAGGGAACTTCCAATCATGGTGGAAGGTGAGTGGGGAGCAAACAGTTCACATGGCAAAAACAGGAGCAAGTGAGAGAGAGTCATGGAGGAGGTGCCACACACTTTTAAACAGCCAGCTGTCACAGGAACTCACTCACTATCTGAAGACAGCATCAAGCCATGAGGGATCCACCTCTATGACCCAAACACTTCCCACCAGGCCCTACTTCCAGCATTGGAGATTACAATTCAACATGAGATTTTGGTGGGGATAAATATTCAAACTATATCAGACTCCTAGGAATAAAATATTTTTAAGTGATGGAAAATTCATCTTACTATATAAATGGAGTCCTAATTTTGTTAATTATTAAAATGTAATTTTACATTTTTCAAAGTAATTATAAATTATCCCCCAAAAAAGTATTGCCTAACCATTAGTTTTGAAATTTGTACAGATTTCTTGCATTTAGTTATTAACATATTGGAAAAGTGTCGTCATGCAAACACAGCTGCTTTGAGTATGGCATTAAGAAGAATTTGAATCTGATTTACAAGAAGTTGGAGAGGAGGAATGATGGAAGAATAACTTTTTCACATGGAATAAGATGCTTTTGAGCCAAAGATGATACATACTATACTCAATTTTCCTACCATTTGCTCCCAGTAGAGGCACCTCTGTGGTTATTCTGTTGTTGTTCATCTCGCTTCTGCATATAGATGAGAAGCCTGAGACACAAAGATATGAGTAAAATGAGTGCACATAGATTTATGGAGACTATATGAGGATGATAATATGCAATTGCTCATGGTTACACTGATTTCCTTTAAGGGTTTGTAACTTAAGAATGTTTGATTCAGGGAAGGAAGAACAAAGCAGCTTTTAGATATCCTGCTGAATGTTATCAATATATGGAGAGATCAACAGCCCTGCATCCTCATTCTAGTGGATACAGAAGGAAAAAAGAGGAAATGGGATAAGAAGCAGCTGTACAGGGGTTGAGGTTCAAATACTGACTAGCTCTTCCCTTTATGACCAACACCAGAGATAAACAACTGTTGGTGGCTTCAATTTAATTGTTTGTAATCAATGGCAAGGACCAAGTAGATTAGCAGTGTGGTAATAGCAGTTAAGAGTTCAGGCTATGTCATCAACCAGACCCAGATTTGCATCCCAGCCTGAACATGTATTAAATTTGTGATCTTGAACAAGTAACTTAATTTCTCTGTGCTTCAGTTTCCTCATCTGTAAAATGGGACTAGTAATAAAACCTATCCATTAGCATTGCTAAGGAATTAAATTATATGATCATACTGCCTGACACAAACTAAGTGTTCAATAAATATTAGGTATAATTTTCATCATTTTATTCATTTTAATCACCATCTTCATTGTTATATGCTTTGCTCTCTCTAAAGCTACCTTTGCTCTGGATCTCATCCTTTCCAGCTTCCTGGGGATTTCTCTCTCCTCTATCTTCAGCCTTTCCATACCTATTGACTCCTTCCTACCAGCCTCCCATATCTTAATTCTCTATTTTTGTACTTCCTTGGACTCTACCTCTGTCTAGCTACAGCCATGTTTTTCTCTTCCACTTCATGGCTAAGATTATTAAAAGAATAATAGCTACATTCAATATATTTTCATTCTCACTTCCCATTTACTCCTCAAACCCATAGGCATCTAGTTTTCCCAACCCACCCCTCACCGCAATTAAAGTTACTCTCTCTAACATCAGCAGCAACTAACTAATTGTGATATCCAGTGTGTACTGTCATCTTACTTGACTCCTGAGACATACTGTTAACCACTACTAAGTTTCTTAAATATTCCTTCTTTCCTAGTTTCCCTCCTATATATCTGACCATTTTTCCTTAGCCTCCTTTGCTGACTTCTTTTGTCTATTTCCTAAATATTATCCTTCCTCAAGGTTTTCTCCTTATCCCTCTTTTCTTACCTGAAATGATCTCCCCAAATGACCTCTTCCATGCTCTTGGCTTTAGCTATCACTTGTAACAAAATCCACCTCTCTTCCTTAAACATCTTAACTGGTAACTAAAAAACCCTGACCTAGAAGTTTCACAGAAATTTCAATATAGCCAGGCTTACCTTTCTCTTTTTAATTGTATTTATATTACATTAGATTGTCCTTGATTTTACTCTATCTTTTTGTTTATTTCTTATTTTAATTTGCTGTTTACTTTTTCTTAGTTTTGCTTATTTGACTAAATTACTATTAATTTTATTTCCCCTCATTAATTTGAAAATTCTACCTTAGTTTTCTGGTCAATTAATAGTCACCTTACCTTTCCCTGTTAACATATTCAGACATATATGATTAGCTGTTCTAACATGCCTCTAAACTGGACTCCTTCCTCAACCTCTCATACTTCCTTATTATCATTCAATAGCATATTTGCCTGTAATCTCGGTCTTAGTGAACAACATTATCATTTTTCAGGTGCCCAAGCGAGAAACCTGGAGTTATTCTAGATTCTTGCCTGTCCTTCAGTTATCAAATTCTGCTACTTCTACCTCAGTATCTCTCAGGCGTGTCTTCTTCTCTATAATGCCCCTTTCTGAGTTCAAGCTCTCAATATTTTTCTTTACTATTTCAGTTATTCAAGTTGTCTTCCAAGTTTTTTTGTCACACTGCTTCTCACCAGTCCATGTTCCACACTATCAACATAATGGACTCCTTAAAATATTGATATGGTTGTAGAGTTTCACAGTTTAAAATCATTTTGTGGTACTCTGTGCTATGCCAATAGGAACTTCTTACTCTCTTCCTTAAATATACCTTGTTTTACATTGGTATCTTTGGTCATGCTTTCTCTCTGCCTGGAATGCCTTCTCCTCATCTCAAATCTCCTTCTTCTCCAATTTTTGCTCATTCTTTAAGATTAGTCAAAACAATTTCCATTCTCCAAAACATTTCTTTATACAACACCCCACTAGAACAGATCGCTCCTTTGTTTATGACCCCACTATATCTTGTATGCAACTTTATTATAGTACCTATCATATTTTATTTGGTATTTATTTACTTTATCTCTTCTTACTAGACTATGAGCTTCTTGAAAATATAGGTTATATATTATTCATGCCTGTATTCCCAGGGCCCAGCACATATAAGCTTCAATATATGTTAGATATGTTTAGAAGAAACCTCTAGTGGCATTAATATTTCAAAACACAAAAAAGTACAACTGCCTATGAGGGGAAAACAATTAGGAAATGAGATTTCCAATTAGGAAATGAAAAGAAAAGGACAAGTAGGTTCAGTAATCATTTTATATATAATTTCTAGAATTTTGATATGTTCTCTCTTCCACTGAACAGAAGAATTTTCTTTTCTCTCTTTAGCATTCAAGTGTTTCATTGTCTTAAACATGAAGGAACTGGTGGCAGGACACTGCTAGTAGATGGATTCTATGCAGCAGAACAGGTACTTCAAAAGGCACCTGAGGAATTTGAACTCCTCAGTAAAGTGCCGTTGAAGCATGAATATATTGAAGATGTTGGAGAATGTCACAACCACATGATTGGGGTTGGGCCAGTGTTAAATATTTACCCATGGAATAAAGAGCTGTATTTGATCAGGTAAGTATCAAAGAACTATCCCCAATTGTAATATGTTTGCCAAAGGTTAGCCTTCTAATGTAACAAAAATCCCTAAGATTCTTATATCTGCTACATTTTAATCTTGCTATTCCATAGCTTTTTATTATCAAACAGTTTGTATTCTTCTTATAATTCCCATGGAATAATAAATAGCCATCAACCAAAGAATACTAGATTTATTTTGGAGGTGGGGTCAAATATTAGAGGTAGTATTTTTTAAATGAAACATTATTAAAATGAAAAACAGTTATTAAATTATCCTCAGTGACCAAACAGCTAGGTTTCCCAACAACATTTATGTCTCTAGCCCAGATTTATGCAAAGCTCTTCACCAGTGTATTCAATTGACTACTGATATCACAACTTGCATATTTTGTAGAATATAAAACATATCATATTCAAACCTGAATTCATCACTTCTACTCACTTTAAACCTACTTCTCCACTTGTTTTCCCATTTTCATTGAATGGCACCACCATCCACTAAGTTTCCCAAGCCATAAACATCATATTTAATTTTTCCCTCTCCCTTATATTACATAACCAGTCTTATCAACTCAACCTCCTATATTTTTCTCCAACTATCCCCTGCTTTCTATCTACAATGCCTCTTCTTGCAGTGAGACTACTCTTCTGTCCCATGGCTAAAGTTATAACTGATGTCCTTGCTTCCACCATGAGCCCTCTTCTATTAATTTCTCATGCTGTAGCTAGAACATCCTTTCTGAAATACAAGTCTTATCTTTTGCTCCCATTTTAAGATCCTTCTAAACCTCCCCAGTGTCTTTCAGAGAAAGACTAGAGTCCTTCCTTATGGCTTTTAAGGTTCTGTATGATCTGATCCCTTCTTCCTCTTCTAGCATATGATTCATGTTTTCCATACATTCTGCCCTAGCTATACCAAACTACTTTGGGTTTCTGGAGCCAATTATTTTGCATCTTGCAGCCAAGCTTTTTACTATGCTTTTTTTTTGCAGATGGATTACCCCTCCTGCTTCTGCTTATTCCAAGCAAACTGTTACTGTGCATTAATTCAGTTTACTCAGCAAATATTCCATGAGCATCTACCAAGAGTGATGCTCTGTTCTTGACACTGGAGATGAAACTGTAAGCACAACAGACAAAAATTCCTGGCCCTCTTGGAATTCTCATTATAGTGACAAGAGAGAGTAATTAAAAATAAATAAGCAAATATGTAATATATCAAATGGTGATAAGTACTAGGGAAAAACAAAAGAGCAGGGAAAGAGATACGGGGTGAAGAGGCAGGGTGAAGATAGCCGCAAAACTTGACATACTACAAAGAGTACAGGCTTTGTAATCAGAAGGAGTTCAGTGTGAAATCCTGACTGCCACTTATTGATTTTGGCCTTGGACAAGTCACTTAACCTGCTAGTCATGAGTTTCCAGTTACAATAATAATACCTTCTGTGCCCACTTGTTGTGAAGATAAAAATAAATTGTTATCCTTACCTTTACCCCTGGCTTGTAGTAGGAACTGTGTAAATATTAATTTACTTCCCTCGGATAAGTTCCTCTGGGAAACTCTCGCTCTGTTACCTCTCATATATCTAAGTGCCTAAAACAATGAGTAGTAACTCATTATTTTCCCAACATTTTATTATGAATATTTCTAAACATATAGAAAAGTTGAAAACATTTCACATAGAAAACCCATAGACTTACATCTAGATTCTGCCATTAAGATATTTCTATACTTGCTTTATCACCAATCTTCCCATCTATCCATTCATCAGTTAATCTTATTTTCAGTGAATTTTAAAGTATAATACATTACAGATATCAGTACATATCTCCCTAAAATACTTCAACATTTGTATCATTAAGTAGCGTACAATATTTGCTTACAGTTTTTTAAAGTTACAATATATATGTACTGATGTTTAAAATATTAAATATACACTCACTGAGTTTTGACAAATACATATACCTATGTAACCCAAACCCTTATCAAGATATAAAATATTACTATCACTACAGAAAGTACTCTTATACTCCTGCACATACATCTCAGAGGAACCCATAGTTTGAATTATTTTTTTACCACTATAGATTAGATTTTTGCCTGTTCTGTTTATTTCTTCTTTTATGAATAGACACCTGGACTCTTTCCAGTTTCAGGTAATTATGAATAAAGTTGCTATGAACATTCATGTAAAAGTGTTTTTTTTGGTATGTTTTCATTTTCATTTCACTAAGGTAGATACTTAGGAGTGGAACTGCTGGGTCATAGAGTAGGTGAGTGCTTAGTTTCATAAACAACTGCAACAAGTTTTACCAAAGTAGTTGTACTATTTTAGACCATCATCAACAATGTATGAATTGTAGCTGCTCAAAGGACATGCCACAGTCTTTTAAACAACCAGCTCTTGCATGAATTCAGAGGGAGAACTCACTCATTACTATGAGAGCGGCACCAAACCACCCATGAGGGACCTGCCCCAGTGATGAAAACACCTCCCACCAGGGCCCTACGAAAACTTGCTTGCTCTTTGCTTTGTTTGCTTATAATAGTCATTCCAGCGGCTATGAAGTGGTATCCTACGGTGATTTTTTTTTCCATTTTAAAAATGGATTTAGAGGGTACAAGTGCAGATTTCTTACATGCATATATTGCATCGTAGTGGAGTCTGGGCTTTTAGTGTACCATCCACCTGAATAGTGAACATTGCACCCAATAGGTAATTTTTCAACCCTTGTCAACTTCCCACCCTCCACCTTTTGTAGTCTCCAATGTCTATTATTCTATATGTCCATGTGTACCCATTGTTAAGCTCTCACTTACAAGTGAGAATACGTGATATTTGACTTTCTGTTTCTGAATTACTTAAGATAATGTACTCCAGTTCCACTCATGTTACTGTGGAACACATGACTTCATTATTTTTTATGGCTGCATAGTATTCCATGTATATGTAAAATGTAGATGGGTAGATGCCCAGTAGTGAGATTGCTGGATCAAATGGTAGTTCTATTTTTAGTTCTTTGCGAAATCTCCATACTTTTTTCCATAAATGTTGTGATAATTTACATTCCCACTAACAGTGCATAAGCATTACTTTTTTCTCCACATCCTCACCAACATCTGTTGTTTTTTGATTTTTAAATAATAGCTATTCTGACTGGTGTAAGATAGTATTGTGTGGTTTTAATTTGCATTTCTCTGATAATTAGTGATATTGAGCATCTTTTACATGTTTGTTGGCCACTTGTATGTCTTTCAAAAAACACCCATTCGTGGCCCTTTGCCTACTTTTTAATGGCGTTACTTGTTTTTTTGTTTTTTCTTTTTTTTCTTGTTGAGTTGTTGGAGTTTCTTGCAGATTCTGGATATTAGCCTTTGTTAGATACATAATTTGGAAATATTTTTTCTCATTAGGTAGGTTTACTCTGTTGATTGTTTCTTTTGCTGTGTGGAAGGTTTTTAGCTTAACTGAGTCCCATCTGTTTATTTTTGTTTGTGTTGCATTTGCTTTGGAGGACCTGGTCATAAATTCTTTGCCTAAGCCAGGCCAATGTCCAGAAGAATTTTTCCTACAGGAAAAATTTCTTACAGGATTTTACAGTTTCATGTCTAAAATATAAATCTTTAATCCATCTCGAGTTAATTCATGTATATGGTGAGAGATAGGGGTCCAGTTTCATTCTTCTGCATATGGCTAGCCCGTTTTCCTAGCACCATATATTGAATAGGGTATTCTTTCCCTATTGTTTAATTTCGTCGATGTTACAGAAGATCAGTTGTTAATAGGTACTTTATTTCTGGGTTCACTATTCTGTTCCATTGGTCTATATGTCTATTTTTATACCAATATCATGATGTTTTGGTTGCTATAGCCTTGTAGTATAATTCAAAGTCAGAATGTAATACTTCAAGCTTTGTTCTTTTTGCTTAGGATTGGTTTGGCTATTCAGTCTCTTCTTTGGGTTTCATATGAATTTTACGTTTTTTTAATTATGTGAAAAAATGTGTTGGTAATTTGATAGAGATTGCATTAAATCTGTAAATTGCTGTGAGCGGTGTGGTCATTTTAATAATATTGATTCTTTTGATCCATGAGCATGGGATGCTTTTTCATTTATTTGTGTCATACACAATCTTTTCATCAGTGTTTTGTAGTTCCTCTTGTAGAGATCTTTCACCTCCTCGATTAAACGTATTCCCAGGTGTTTTATTTTTTGTGGTTGTTGTAAATGGGTTCTTCATTTGGTTCTTAGCTTGAATGATATTGGTGTAGAGAAATGCTACTGTGCTTTGTACATTGATTTTGTGTCCTGAAACTTTACTGAAGTTCTTTATCAAGTCTAGGAGTCTTCTGGAAGGGTCTTTAGGAGTTTTATTGTACATTATTTGGGGTTTTCAACATAATGGGGTATTTTTTCTCCCTTATAATATGTATGCCTTTCACTTCTCTCTCTCTCTGCTTGCGTGTGTGTGTGTGTGTGTGTGTGTGTGTGTGTGTGCACGTGTTATTGCACTAGCTGGGACTTCCAGGACTAACAGTGAATAGTAGTGGCGAGAAAGGACATCCTTGACTTATTTCTGATTTTAGGGGAAAATTACTCAGTGGTTCACTGTAGGTTTTCCATGGATACCCTTTTTTAGAATAAGGAAATTTCCTTCTATTCCTAACATGTTGGGAATTTTATCATTAATTAATATTGAATTTTGTTGAATGCCTTTTCTGCACTTATTCATACGATCATCTGATGTTTCTTATTTAGTATGACAATATAATAAAATACATTGATTGATTTTTGAATGTTGAACCAACTTTGAATACCTGGGATAAACTCCACTTGATCTTGATGTATTATTATCTTTTTGATACATTGCTAGAGGTGATTGGCTAATATCTTAGTAAGAATATTTGTACCTATGTTTATGTGAGATATTGCTATTTAGTTTTTTTCTTGTAATATCTTTGTCTGAGTTTGGTATTAGGATGATGCTATCCTCATAATATGAGTGGGGTCATTTTCTCTCCTTAATTTTCTGAAAGAGACTGTAAAATTTGTATTACATCTTACTTAAATGTTGGATAGAATTCATGAGTGAAATTGTCTGGCCTGGAGTTCTCTTTTTTGAAAAGTTTTAAATTACAGATTCAGTTTCTTTAATACATGTCAGGCTATTCAGATTATCTACTTTTCTTTGAATT